TACATCCTACTTACTATAAAGCGTCTGTCGTTCTGTCTGTCGTTCTGTCCCTCTGTCTGTCGTTCTGTATGTCTGTCACGAAATTCCCTAGCTCCTCGGGATCCGCCTGGAGGGACCGGGTCAAGTGTGGGATGGGTGGGCAGGGTCTCACGAATACAAAACACACATCAGCTAAGCGGAGCCCCGCCCACAGAGGGCGTGGCGTGCGTCGAAATGAATTGTACCGAAGACCAAGATTTCGATTTCAGTGACAAAACGACCTCGAAACTGGGCCAAAAAGTGGGTAAAGGTGTGCATTGGTAAGTCACATCGAATTAGGGAGACCCACCCCCGGTGGGCGGGGCGTTCTCTAAAAAAGCAGTGCTTTATGAAAAATTTCATAACTCGGTTGGGAGAAAGCCTACAGAGCAGAAAACAATTTGGTGTAAGGGAGCAATGTCTAAGGTGTTTCCTGCATACATGACGTGGGCGGAGGCCCGCCCAGAATGGGCGGGGCGCGCTCTGAAGTGTACAGCATTTTCTACAAGCCCTCATAATTCGGGTCGGGGAAGTCCTAAAGAGCCGGAAAAAGGTGGATAGAGGTGTATGGAGGAGTGGAGGCCAGCTGTCAATGGTGGGCGGGGCCTGACCAAAGTGGGCGGAGTTTGCGACGAAAATTTATAACTCGGCTCCATGAAGCTCCGGAGGCTGGGGAAAAGGTGGATAGAGGTGGGTGGAGGAGTGGAGGTTAATTGTCATTGGTGGGCGGGGCCTGACCAAAGTGGGCGGAGTTTGCGACGAAAATTTATAACTCGGCTCCATGAAGCTCCGGAGGCTGGGGAAAAGGTGGATAGAGGTGGGTGGAGGAGTGGAGGTTAATTGTCATTGGTGGGCGGGGCCTGACCAAAGTGGGCGGAGTTTGCGACGAAAATTTATAACTCGGCTCCATGAAGCTCCGGAGGCTGGGGAAAAGGTGGATAGAGGTGGGTGGAGGAGTGGAGGTTAATTGTCATTGGTGGGCGGGGCCTGACCAAAGTGGGCGGAGTTTGCGACGAAAATTAAAACTCGGCTCCAAGAAGTCCCGGAGGCTGGGAAAAGGTGGATGGAGGTGGGTGGAGGAGTGGAGGCCAGCTGTCATCGGTGGGCGGAGCTTGACCAAAGTGGGTGGAGTTTGCGACGAAAATTCAGAACTCTGTTCCAGAAGGTCCCGGAGAGTGGGGAAAAAAGAAGATATAGTTGGGTGGGAAAGTGGAGGTCAAAGGCCAGTGGTAGGCGGGGCTTGGCCAAAGTGGGCGGAGTTTGCGACGAAAATTCATGACTTGGCTCCAAGAAGTCCCTGAGGCCGCGGAAAAGGTGGATGGAGGTGGGTGGAGGAGTGGAGGCCAGCTGTCAATGGTGGGAGGGACATGACCAAAGTGGGCGGAGTTTGCGACGAAAATTCATAACTCGGCCCCAAGAAGTCCAGGAGGCTGGGAAAACGGGGTTAGAGGTTGGTGAGGGAAAAGAGCTCAACTGCTATCACTGGGTAGAGCACGCACCTAAGTGGGCGGAGTTTGCCAAAAGTGTCGTAATTTGGTTCCAAGAGGTCCCAGAGACCGGTGAAAAAGGGGGTAGAGGTCGGCGAAAAGAAGGGAGCCAAATGCTATTGGTCGGCAGGGCACGCACCGAAGTAGACGGAGTTCGCCACGAGATTTATTGTCCGGGCCGAGGACCGAGAAAAATAGGATAATGGTTGACGAAGAAAGAGCGCATAGAATTTAGCGGAGAATTCAGATATTCGTATTGTATCAAGCCAAATTTGAAATTTTTCGTCGCACCATCAAAATTCGCCACAGATCTGTGTTGCGCGCGCAATGCGTGCGGCGCCAACTGGTATTATATATATAGATAACATTAAAATTTCTTATCAAAAATCTGCTCTACCATTTGCTAGCATGACAGTTACTGCAATCTCCAGATTTGCCCAAATTGGTCCGAGTTTTACTGCTGCACGCATGAGAGGCATAAGAGGAGTTGAGTCAGCCAAATTTAAGTGCGGTGCGACACGCGAGTTTTTTCACATCGATACTTCCAGTATACAGCCTATAAGCAGGATCAATTATAATTTCATTTACGAAATGCTATCAAGGAAGAATGGCAGCCATCACCTCCGGCTGCTCGTTTCCTAGCCCGATTTCATGGAGTACCGTCACAATAAAGCGTATCATGTGCCACAAAAAGCCGCTTCCTTTGATAGTCAACTCTATCAAATCATTACGAGATATCGAATTCGTTGAGAAACTGCTGAATAAGCTGAATGAATGAGGAAAAGGCGCTCAACATTTGTTAAGTTTGCCGTTCTTACCTAACAAGTTCTATACTAACTTCAAACAGTTCCCTAACGAAAGACATTTTGACACGCTTTTCATTCATATCTACCTGTAAACATAAATTGGATTAAAAATTGAAATTCGTGTACACACAAATGGCGGTCCTTATGAAATCTGAAGCACCTGGCAAAAGTTCCTAAAATCATGTGTGCCAACGAGTAGAGCAGCGGCTCGACGCATAGCCTGAAAATAACTTCTTTGCAGCAATAACTGGATTTCGTTCCCACTAAGCAAATCTATGAAAGTGGACCGTCACATCCAAATTGGCCCTTGGTAGACTATATTTGTAAACGCGCATATTGCATGCATGTCTGGCGGAAAAATTCCGCGGAACAGGAGCCCAACTAGAAATACTATATTTACACGGACAAACGCCCATGGAAAGAATCAAACGGCAAAACTCATATATTACCAAAAGATTATCGATTAACAACTTGAACAGTTTTTGTATTGACAGGCGACTCATAACACTAAATCTTTGGAAAGAACTCGTAACGGTAAACTAAACTCACGCTATAACGCTGATGGTCTTTGGCAGTACTCTGCGCGAGGTTCAGCATTCTAAGATATGATAATTCCTCTTTCTTTGGATAGTTTTCAATCACAGTCCTCTCAGTTGATTCAGACCAGAAAACAAATTCACCACTTACATCAGCCGACCTAAGTTCAAGTGTAGATTCCTCCAAGTGGAAAAGTTCAAATCATATGGACCGAGATCATAGCTCGCGATCACATGCGGTTCGTTGGCAATTCATGAGTGGAATAGATTAGGCACTGTTCACAGTCTGCGTCACACCCGAATGACGCTCGAAACGAACGAATCTGCACATCAGCGAAAGGAATGTGCATAGGATAAGAGGTGTATGTATACCGATCAGGTCAGGCGGATTGGATGCGACCGCCATCTCGTTTGTTGCGCTTTCGATACGCGCGAACGGGTTAGAGGGCGGAGTTGGCTACATTGATACGCATTTGAACTGTTTCGCTTTCGCGTTCGCGCGTGCGCAGGTTTTCCTACGCGATACGTACACCTGCGTTCCAATAATGACACAGCCACCTACAATTTGCTCGAAATTTCAAAGCTCATAGTTTCTGAAAAACTGTTAATAGAAAATGTGACACCAATGTCATTTGCGATTCATATCAAACTAAAAATCCTGCCGAAGAACTTTGCTCATTTTTCAGAGGCAGAATGAATTTTGCTCTATTTCAGTGATACAGCCACCTAGAGTTTCTTCGTTGAAAATTCATTTTAGCTTCATGAAAATGATTCGCAGTACGAGGCTTTCACCTTAATAGGTTCACATAAAAGAAAAATGGGTAAACTTTGACAAAGGGTAAACCGTAACAAAAAAAGAAAAAGGCAGAAGAATCCGCAGGCCATCATATGCGCCGAAAAAAATAGCCAAAGCTCCACTACGGTGACATTCTTCCGTGAACCCTGTATTGTTATGGAGCCAAATAAGAGCAATTAACGATCTCATCTTTTCTTTTTTTGGTCAACGATTAAAGACCTCCAAATTATTGGAAGAAATAAAATTTCCATTTTCAAATTCGAGCAGCGATGCCCCAGACACTTCAGTCTTCTTTCAGATCAAGCTTTCAATGCAATATTTAGGCAACTGTGAAGATCTTCCGAGGTCACTCTCCAGTGGAGAATTAAGGAGAGCTTGCTTGTGAAAAGAAATTCTCTCGAAAACAGTCATCTTTGGCTAGAAGTTGTAGTCACGCGTCAACGGGGCGCAGATCGACTTTTGGTTCCCGTATGTTTTACTGTTATTTCTTTCAACCTTTTTCCCTTTCTCTCATAGAGTTTTTCTTTCCATCCAGCAACCCTGTGGAGCCGAGAAACCAATTACGAAAATCAACAGACAAAAGCAAAGGCATAACGACAAAGGATTTGTCATTGCTCCAGCCGACCGTGCGCTAATATCCTCAGCAAATCGCACTGAGTTTTTTCGACGAGAATTCTTTTCACAAACAAAGAACCTTTCTTCACTACTCCGGAAGAATACCTCGGAGCAGGTGAATAATCACGTCTTAAATTCCTCAACCGGCACGTCGAGGATTCTCTGCCCGGTCAGACACGATCTCTCGCGCGGACATTCACACTCGCCATGGGCGTGCCGTCCTGTGCTCTCCGCGCGGATGTTCACTCTCGGCACTACTCTCACATGGTAGAGAGCTATGGTCGAGGAAATCCTCGACCGTTATTCACCCGCCTCGAGGAGGTTCTTCAACCGATCCCAAACAATATCCATTGAAAGACTTGGAATTGGAAAGAAGACTGAAATTCTGGGCACTGCTCGATGAAAATGGAAATGTTTCTTCAAAATTCGGAGTTCAACTTGACCAAGAAGAAAAGACGAGCATCCACAGCTCTTCTTCGTTCCATTAACTACAGGATTCCAGAAGAAATTGTTCACCGTATTGGAGCTTTGACTCAATTTTCGCGCAATATGACTGCTTGACGATTCCTGTTTCTTTTTTTACAGTTTACCCTTTTCAAATCCAACTGTTTTTTTCTCTTGTGGGAACATTAAGATGAAAGCCTGATAACTGCGAATCATTTTCATGAAGCAAAATGAATTTCAACGAAGACACACGGGTGCATCACTTTTGAACATAGAAAGCTGACCTCGTCTCTCATTTTATTTATTGACGGCAATTTTTATCTTAATGTTTATGCAAGCAACATTCTATGGAGCTTTGAGATTTCCGAGCCAAGTGTAGTGGCTGTGTCATCATTAAACGCAGTGTATATAATTCTTTTTCCGAATTCAAACATTCTGATGATTCAAGAACTGGGAATAGTGCCTTACTGATCGTCAACGCCACGACGCTTTGTGGTAAGCGTCGCGGCGTTGACGATCGTGAATGTCAATGATCACTATTTTAGTCATCTCTTACCCGCACATTTTCCCTTTTGATTCCTCAACTCATTTGCTTCACTGGATTCCTGATTTTTACTATTCGACTAATATGGTAGGTCAGATAGCGTAGAAAAGAAGGAAAGAAAAGCCGTGTATTGTGTCAGAACCAGACAGGTTACGACCAGAACCGTGGACGGCGCCGCTTGCCAGGCCATCGTAATCGCTGGGATCGAGAGCAATGACCAGCGCTTAAGTGCAAACAGATCTGTTGCCTAACGGAAAGAGAGGTTCATGAATTTATACCTCACCACAACGGCAGCAACTTGCTTGAAAGCTGACACTCCCTTGTCAGTTCGACCACATCGAGAGAAATCGCAGTCTTTTTCAGAAGAGATGAGCTTTGTTTTGAGAAGGGCATCCATCAAGTGCTGAATACATTGCACTTATATTAGCTGTAAGCTCCGACTCAAAGCTGCAAATGCAAACCTTCTCCACAGTGTTTTCAGTATTCGCTTGCTGTACGAGACCTTCGAATTCCCAGCCACGATAGAGAAACTGTAGTGCGATTTTGCGACGCGGATGAGCGTTAAAGTCGAATACACGTCCTTTCTTCATTTCTTGAAAAAGCAAATACAAGAAAGCATTGCAGTAAATACAAATCATTGTAGAAAACAGTTTACAGGTAAATGACATTATTGGTGTGCAAGTACAAGATCTCGTCCGGGACACACAGTGGGGACATGAACCCACGAAAAACTCATTTGGTCTAATTTTAAGCGAATAGGTCAAAACTGCACTCATCTTAAAAATGAATAGCTAATAACGCTTGTTCTGCAATGCCACCCTAGGTTCGATTTCTTCAGACAGACCGCATGGATTCTGGGTATAGAACGAAAGATATCCTGTAGATTGCAGGATGACAGGCTAACGATCAAACCGAATTATTACGCTTCGTGC